AGATGGCATGCCATAAGGCCGCTCACGAACATTTTGAGGCATGGAAAAACCAGGTGGCCCCTAAGGCCTATGAAAATCATTTCCCCTGGAGGGGGGTCCCTTGTGAATCATATGGGCCTATATAAGTCAAAAGAGGGTCGATATAAGAGTTCGACTGTGTTGGCGTAAAACTTGTTGAAGACAGTATAACCTCTGAAAAAGGTGCATAAACTGCAGTTCCCCCTGTCGAAGTGACTCGGGGTGGTACTTCATCATTGTTAGGAGGATTTTGATTACTTGTCTGGCCTTGATTCGCCATTTTACTAACGTACTTTCTTTTTTAGGTATTTTCTTGTTGTTTGTGGCTAATTTACCACTCCTAAGTCTCATACAGCACAAAAAAATACAAAAGGATGATGAATATTTTCAAAACATTTAGAGTAGAACATAAAAAATCTGTTTATTGAACACAAGTCCCACCAGATGTGTCAATTTGTTTACCGTGAAATTTGGAAAACAATCGCTGGTCTTCCAAAAAAGATTGGTGATTTGCAGGATCGACCAGATTGATCCTAAGTACATGTCTTCTTAATCAAACTTTTGTTCTTGAAAACAAAAAATACTTTTGCCAGCATTCTTGATCTTTTTAAACTAAACTAATTTCAATTGTTACTTTGAATACAGTACTATAATGCTTTAAAGAAAAGACTGGTATGTAAAAGACTTTCAATTGAAACTTAAAGGGAATGTGTAAAAATTTAATTAAAGTTGAATGACAATAAACATAAAATTGGTGCGTCATACGTACATTCTCACAACTCGTTTCTCGAACGCTGATACTTTGAGTAATTTGTACAAATATGTGAATACACTGAATCCTAATGATAAGACCCTAATTTATAATAATTGGACCAAAACGGTCTCTTTATAAGATGTTGCCTCGTTCGACATCTGCATGCGCCTTCAACCTTATGCCTCCACGCGTTTCTTTGGATAAGATCAAACTTTCAAATTTGAATACTCTTTTTTGCCTTCGAAACGCCAAAACATGACGGTCAAAATATCTAATTTGATGATACTTCGAATAAATTAAGTTCCAATGATTCACAAAACGAATCTTTCGCCATCACTTAACAAAATGAAGCTCTTTATTAGCTTTTCATCTATCAAAATCTTCACAAAACCTCCTTCATGCTTCCTTTCGAACTACATTTCTTCTAAGATATATCATTTCAGCTTAAAAACTCATTCAGTAAAAATTCCCAATGAACACAAACATAATGTATTTCCAACATAATCATACATTTTAAGTCATAAGTTAATAAATGATTACACAAGATTCCTATGTATTCGACAATATGTTTCCAATTAATCACAAAGATCAAAGAGGCGTATGGTACCAACTATGGTACGAAACTGCACTCAAGGGATTTATCAATAAAATTCTATTCAGCAGGGCGCGCTAAGCGAAGCCCCGTACGCTAAACGCCCTTTGTGAAACACACAAAATTAAGTTCCAGGAGGGCACGCTAAGTGCTTCTCCAGGCGCTAAGCGCGATCAGTGAATTATAGTAAAACTAGAGTTGTAACAGCTCTGTCTTGGATTCCCAAAACCCCATTTTTATGCTCCAATACAAGCACCCATAACAGACAAGTACGATTTTTGCATAAAAACAATTTATATGTCATTAAACGTAGCATGCAACAAGAATTTCTCATTCTAAACCCTTATTCCCAAACATACAATTTCCACAACAAACCTCAAGTTTTTATCTAGAGACCCACCTTGTATTAGAGGAGGTTAGGATGATGATAAAGTTTCTATTGAGTTCCACTCTTAATAAAATTTTACATCCATGATCATCAAACCCGTAAGCATGTTTTCACCAAAATCAGCATCACACCCTCATCTTCAAACGTATTTATCTCTCTCATCACAAAGATGCAGAAGGAATTTTTTATATGTAAAATGTAGGGAATTTTGTGAGCTTTCTAAAAAGACTGGAATCACTTAAATCGGAGTTACAAGCAAGAAGTTATTATCTGCTTAGTGGAGATTATCCCAAGATGTGTGAAAATAGAGATGGAGATAATGAACATGAGTTTCCCCCTCTTCTCTTTCTACTCTTCTATCTCCAAAAATCTGATTTGGAATTGAATAAGGATGCAGTCACTATCAAACAAGCCCTTATCATTCTCATTAATATGTCCAATGCCCAAAATGCCCTCAACTAAACAATATTAACCAATGTGTCATTTAGTTCATTTCTAACCAAATATTTTGATCACAACCATTTCACATTAGGTACATAGTCTTTTATTTACATGTTTTGAAAAATAGGGATGTTACAGACTAAGATTAGTAATAATGTTGGTTGTTAGTTTGAAAATAAGAACAGAGAAAATGGATGATGCACTGACAATTTTAGAATGTGAATCAATGAAGACCATGTATCTTGCCAAGTCAGACTGCAAAATTTTAATTAATTATATGACATAGCATATTAAGAAGAAAGAATATAAATTGATATTGATGAGAGAAATCTAAATATGAAATTTTTATTGACTTGAATCATTTGTTTCCATTTTCCGTTGTTTCTAGAAATATGATATTGTATTTACAAAGTTTTGTGGCTTGCATATAAAATTTAGAAAGAAAACGATGTTTATGGATTCAAAATTTTGTTTTTATAAATTTTTTATAATTTTGTAATTATATAATTAATAAATAGACTATAACTCATTAAGATAACACCATTAAAAAAATGATACATCATCTAATTTGAATTCATATATTTAAAGTGGGAATCAAAACTGTTTAAAAATAAATAAAAATAATTAATTTTATGATTTGACTAAAATAGAGAATTTCAACTATAATTTAAACTAAAAATTAACAAATCTGATGTTGTTTAAA